GATATATTTGTCCTGTTCATCGGTACCCTCGCTCGAGAACATCCAGAGCAACATTCAGTCATCGTCGAGCAGCTCACGGAGATATTTGGGGGTCGCCAGGCTGCATTACTGGTTCATAAATCAGCGGAGGCGTGCCCAAAAGAATTCGATGATCTACGAGCAGCGCTGTACAAGCATTTGGTGAAGACCTTTACTTATGATGAGCTGCGCGACGAGATCACGAAGTCAAGGGAAGGAAGAACTAAAAGACCTGGAAGAGCTGGAAGTAATACTGATAAATTCGAGACACGGTGCGAGGATTTGGTTCTCGAAAATTATCTTGCACCTCCTGAACCCCGTGCGAACCGAAAGAGAAAACGGGCAAGTGACACGAGCGCCGGTCCTTCGTGACCCTATCCGTTGCTAGCAGCCGCCTGCAGATAACCCATGACAATACATGCCATTCGTGAAACAGACCTGTGTTGTGGTAAGATCAATCGGGGCAGGTAGGTCAAATGGTGCTTGCAACCTCGTGGGCACTTTTGTAACGTCTGCACACGTCCAGCGGCGTCACCGATAGCAGTGTGAACATCCGACATGCCCCCACGCGACACGAGTCTGAAGGGCAGGTACAAGCACTTGCCAGGTCAGCGCACGTATCGCGTTTGGACGCGGCTCCTTCCCAACAAACAGCACACGTAACGACATGCTCAAACAGTGTTGGCTCACGAACCGCAAATGCGTGGACGGCTATGACACCGGGACAGCAACATACAGTCACCAACGCTATCGCGCTAGGTATACTCTCTCCACGATCCTGATTGCTATTCAGGCAGTCGGACAACAAGGGTGCTGTGTTATCTACAAGGAAAACCCGTTCGTCCGTCCAGCATAAGCTCGCATCAGATGAGATCTGCTTTGCCTTTCGTAGTAAGTCATCCCACAAGCTTCCGTAGATGTAGCAACCACATCGTGCGTCTTCCATGGACTTAAAGCTAGACTACCGCTTCAAATGCGGCTGGGGTCACTGCGCTCGGAAACGGTACCAGAGCTGCAGTTTAGCCCGCCAACATGACGAGCACCCCGTGGACTAAGCCAACCTATAGGGCTCCTCGCGTTGCTCTAACCGTGTTTGTGCGGTGCAGCCATGTACTCGAACAGGAGCAATGGAAGCCTTCCATGACCGTAGATGCCGAGATAAAGGTCACACATGCTCTAAGAAGTGGCTCGGTCAGCGCCGGTCGTCTTCCACTTTGCTTGACGTTCATCATGGCACCTCCCGGGGAGACCATCCACCAGCGTTTGTTCTCTTTTCTCGAACACTAGAACGTAGTCGCGAGTGCGGTGGTCGTCATCGGGTCTAGAATCGAGAGCAGCACCACATCTGTTCGAGGACAACGAGGCCACGTTTTTTTTCCGGCTCAACTGTCAAGAACGGTCACAAACAATGCAGCTTCAACGGAATATCGCGAGATCCACCACGCGATGGACTCGATCGATTGCAACACGATGTTGCTTCGTATCGCGTTCCACCATGACGACACACGTGACGCGAGCTGCAAAGTCCACTGCGCTGGTATTCCCGTCGGCCTCGTTTTGCCCAGTAGTTGACACAGAGGAGTCACGTTTGACTGGACATGTGAGCATGAAATGGAAACATTGCGTCCTTCGTACTCGATGACCAGCATGCCATTCGAACAGAATCTGTAACAAGTCCGAGCTGCAGCCGTTCCTTACAGCTTGTGAGGAAGTGTCTCCTGTGCTCAAATGAGAGAAGTCCAATGTCACCGGCGCATAGCATCGCGCGATAAGAATCTCCACGCGTGGGACAAGGCAGCAAAAGCTCTCACGGTAAGTATAAGGAAACAAGCAAGCGAACCGCACAAATGATGCAGCACGCACGACCGCAGCATCAAAGCGTACACGTCATCGAGTCGCACGAGATCCCCACAAATGTAACTCTTGACGAATCGAAGTGCAAAGGTCCTGCAACTTTTGCAATCCGTAAAGCTCTCGATACGCCCACAACCCCGAAGCTCACTTGTAGAGACATTCGCTCACTTCTTCACACTGCAGAAGGCCAACTAAGACATGTCCTTTGCATCTGGATTCTACCTACGACATATGTGATCCTCGATCCACGCACTCATGGCGCCACTTGTATCTCCTTTGTAGGTTTCCTCTGCACACCACGTGGTAACGCGTCGATCATGAACCGCATGGAAGCAGTGCATTGACCGCAGCAGCTGCTGCCCCTTCAGTGCTTTTCTTTGCTCGTGTCGGCCTGCGACGATTGCTGGATGATAAGACAGCAACCAGTGGCGTAAAAAGCAGGAGAGAGAGAGAGAGAGAGCGTGATGTCCATTCTTAAGTCGGGAAGTCGGAGACTGCATGTTTCTTGTACATGACGTGAAAGTGCGAGCACAAACGAGACGTAGGAGGGTAAGGAGTGGACAAAAACGAGAAATTACGTGGTGGTGGTGGTGTCAAGTACGTCCCAAATACGTCTTTAATACGAAGCGCACCACCTATCACCTGGAACTATTTTTTCGCCGGCTAAATTTGAAAGATTGAAAAAATATTTGTCGCCGTTGTCGCAACCGAAACGCCTTTCCAGCGCTTTCGTCGCCTTGCACACAATAAGCACTACTTTTTGGACGCTTTCAACATCAACCAATGTACTGATAAGCCAACAATCACCAACATACCGCGCTCCAACGAAAGGCTACAGCATTTGCAATGTATGAGGGTTGTTGATGCGCCCGCAGTGTCATCTAAAATCAATGTGATTTCAAATCCAAATAAAAATATTGGAAGAGACTATCACTGCGGCCGGAAGTCACACGATTTTGTTGCAATCTCTATAGCGTCGAGCTCTTAGCTAGTACTGAGTTCCTGAGAATACCAGATGTATATACCTTGACATACAATGATATATATTACTCAGCTACGCTCTTTCTGGCTACATGCGACTCGCCTTCCAACTTGCACGTTTCCGACTGATCTTTGCATGCATGCGATTGTAGCGAATCTGCGAACCGGAACCTTCGTTAGTCGACTCGTCCCGTTCTGATATCCGTCATTTCCCTTGTCCCTTGGTTCAACCAGATTCAACCAACGGTAAACGGACTCGAGACGTTCGAACGACTTTCACAAGTTGTGAATATATCACATGATTTTACCCTAGGGTCCATTGTGAATTGACCTTCATTGAATTGTTCTTGGCAGAATCAAAATGCCAGGCTCATAATATATTGCGTCTGCACGTTCAAAGACTTCGAGCAGATGGTCCCAAAATCTATTGCATTCGTTTCTCTCACTACCATCCGCCGTCATGACCGAAAGTGCTTTCAGTACATGGTTGTTTATCGCAAGCTCTTGACTAGGAAGGCTGCCGAATACGCCGTAGAGAGGTATCGGTCGCACCATAAGGTCCCAAATACAATCTCAAGGGATGTGAACGTTTTTGCTGCTGCCAATTATTGTGCTTTGCAATGGGTTTGGCAAAATGCGATGGATTTTGATGGATTTAGATAATTGACTGCGTCGTTTTATAGTAGATAGAGAACACAGACAGGCAAACTAATGCCATTTAGGGGTGACGACAGCCATTTTTGCACTTTTAAGACTGCAAAAATGGTTCCTTTACGCTGATTCATCTACCTGTTGACAGGGTTGCATGACAAATATGTCGAAAAGGTCATAAAAAAGTTTACGCGGGGATTTTACTTAAGGCGACCAAGTGTGGCTCGTCGCGAGCCAATGTTGACGAAATTCTCCGAGCTTTAGGGTCCTCTGACTTCGCGAAAAATTTGTCGAATCAAAGTACGAGACTTAGAAACGAAGCTGGTAGCATACGCTAGCCACCTACGGTCTTAGATTCGTGATTGTAAAAGTATGGGGTGAGGAGTAGCTGGTTGACAGAGATCGGAAAATGCTACAGGTTATAGATGGGGCACACTAAGCAGCGACCTCGCACGACGCCACGGTAGGACGGTCGTCACCACCACCCGCCAGATGGATACGTCCAGCTGCACCACGTCGGTCCAGCTCTATACCGAAACATTGCAGTCAATCACGAATTGCCAAGTCTAAGTCAGCAGTCACGTCATCGACAAAAAGGAAAGAGCGAATGAAAAGAGGTAAAGATAGTGCGATGTCGCGTAACTATGGTCCGAGGGTAGAGAGAGAAAGAGCGATAGAGAGAGAGAGAGAGAGAGAGAGAGAGAGAGAGAGAGAGAGAGAGAGAGAGAGAGAGAGAGAGAGAGAGAGAGAGAGCGAGAGAGAGAGAGAGAGAGAGAGAGAGAGAGAGAGAGAGAGAGAGAGAGAGAGAGAGAGAGAGAGAGAGAGAGAGAGAGTAACAGTCTGTCTTTATACCTTTACGGTTTACAAGATAGCTGAAAAGTCTCTAGCCGCTCGAGCACCCCTACCGGTGATGTGAGCTGCCTTCCTGCTTCATATCGAGTAACCGGCCGCTGAGTAACCGGAGCTCGAAACAGTTCCGTCGCTAGCCGGCACAATGTACAGTCGTCCCCGTCCCAGTTAAATCGGTGTTCCCTGACCGCTACAGCTCGAAGCTGTCGAAGCAGTGTGTGACGTAGTTCCGATTCGGCTTGGTCGACGGCTGTTTCCTCGTGCTTGTGCACCCATCGATTTCCCTGCACCCATAGGGTGGCGAAGCAGATCGAGCACGCTATCCACCAGATGCGTACCCAAGCCCTGCGTACCTCTTCCGCCGTGTCCGGAAACATGCGGCCGATCTCCTCCCGGTGGGCCGATTGTATGTATGGGCACCACACCCGTAAATAAGTCCCGTAAATAGAGTACTCGCCAACGTCATCCAGGCGAACGATGGACGGGACAAAAGTCTGGACCCGATTGGCTCAGTGCAAAGAGCACGTGGTCAGGACCAGTGCCGTCCGTCATTCACTTGCGTCTCTAGCGCCTCATCGGGCGAGTGGCAGTCACTGACCAATTGACCGCGTCCCCTGCAGACAAAAGACGCCCACCACAACGCAGCTATGGCTCGATCATCTCTTCCGTCCGAGCGCTACCACTCGGTGCTCCAGTCAATAGCTTCCACATTGCTCACTGAGGCAGGACATTCGCACCACTGCCTTCACGACGCCTCGGTCTCTGACATGCGAGAGATGGTGCGTCAATTGCTCGTTGTCCGCGCGCCATCCGAAAGCAGCAGCTCTGGCGGTGGTGATGATGATGAAGGCGACGAGGAGCTCTTTTGTCGAGTAGACACTTTGCTTGAGCTTGAGCTTAAGAGCCACAAGACCATCGTGAGTGCACAGGAGCTACCGACCGTGCTACCGTCTTCGTCAGAAGGAGACGATCGTGGCTTCGAGCAGGTTGCGTTGTGGAAAGGCGACATCACCACACTCAAGGCGACGGCGATCGTAAATGCCGCGAACTCGGCACTGCTCGGCTGCTTTCAGCCGTCGCACAAGTGCATCGACAATGCGATTCACAGCATGGCCGGCCCGCGACTGCGTGCAGCATGTCACGCGATCGTGACCCGCCAGGGCCACGAAGAACCGGTCGGACACGCACAGATCACGTCGGGCTTTGCCCTGCCGGCTTCGTACGTACTGCACACTGTTGGACCGCAGTTGCGTCAAGGCGCAAAGCCTACTGCTACACAGCGTGATCAGTTGCAGTCGTGCTACAGGATGTCACTGGAATTGCTGCTGAAGACAGTGGGTGGACAAGCCGACGAGCCGGTGACCGTTGCGTTCCCGTGCATTTCGACAGGATTGTTTGCCTTCCCGGGAGACATTGCAGTGCAGCTGGCGGTGGACAGTGTGCTGGAGTGGTTGGCAACGCATCGGGACGCGATCCGGGGATGGAAGGTGGTCTTTAACACATTCCTGAAGCGCGACTATGATATGTACGTCGACTACATCGAGAGCAAGTGCGTGGGCAGTGTGTCACTGCCTCGTGCACCGGTTTCTGCGCCTTTGCGACGCGCTCTTGAGGCGATCCAGGACGCTGACTTTTTGTTGGTGTCAGCCGGTGCTGGACTGTCGGCTGCTGCTGGTCTTGACTTTGGGTCGCAAGACGTGATGGACATGCTGCATCCCAACGTGCGTCGAGCCCTTCCCAGTTTCCGGACACTGGCCAACATGATCGGCTTTCGTCGTTGGGACGACTCGCTCAAGTGGGGCTTCTACTTCAAGAACGCGAGCGTCATTCGATACGACTGGGTGCGTTACCGATCAGCACCGACGTATGCGTACCTGAAGAGTATCTCGGACATGTTTGAGTGTCGGGAGAAAGGCTCAGTGTTCACGAAGACCAGCAACGGAGACGGCATATTGGAGCAAGAAGGGTTTGATCCGTCCGCCTTGTTTGTCATGCAAGGCGACTTTGGTCTCATTCAGTGTGCTCAGCCGTGCACTCCTGATAGTGTGTGGGATATCAAGCCATTTATGGAGAAAGGGATGCAGAGCTTCAATCCGGAGACATACCGAATTGACGATCCTGCAGGTGTTCCGAAGTGTCCTACGTGCAATGGCCGCATGTCGACTTTCTTGCGTGAAGACGATACGTTTCTGGATAGTGGCGTGAAAGAAGGGCGTGATCGGTACGAGAAATGGCTGGCGCGGGTGATGGGTCAAGTGCACACCAACAGCAAAAAGCTCGTTATCCTCGAGGTGGGTGCTGGTTTCAACACTCCTATCGTGCTTCGCATTCCGGATGAACGACTTGCACTTCACGACGGAGTGCAGCTCGTGCGCGTGAACCCCGAGTATCCAGAAATGCCGTTTCAATGCAATGGTGTGGGGGTCACTGACGATGCGACGAGCGCGCTGGACTACATCGCACATCATTTGCATTTTCAATAGCGCCGTTCCAGTCGAGCCGCACGAGGATATGTATGCTTTGATTCTGCATAGCGTGTCAAGAGATTTGCCTGCCCCATGCTCTTCCCACTCGCGTGTGCATCAATGTAGACTGTGCATGTCTTCGGCGAGAGTGATAGTATATCCATTTTTTTCGACTTACCATGATTCTGACCTCATTGTCATTGTCCACGTATGCAGTCCAGACCTATGGCCTACATCCTGTACAACAGGCGCGATCAAGCACCATATTTAGGCGCGCAGCCAAGACGAAAGGCCATTTCTTTCATGAAAACGCGAGCATCCATTGCCCCGTATCCGCCAAGCTTGTCCACCTCTGCTTCGTCAAACGCCTGCACAGCATCACGGCGAGTTTCATCCTGGTAGAAACTCGTGAATATCAGGCGTCGTGGAGCTTGCTCGTCCCTGTGGTCCAGGTACTTGTGGTCCCACTTTTCGTAGCTCTGCTGGGGTCGTAGAGGGTGGGGCTCGAGCGGCTTTGACACCGGGCGATTGGCTGGTTTCACAATCGACACAAAGACTCTGCTACCACCGTCGTCTTGCTGCTGCTGTGCTGTCAGCTCCGACACGATAGTATTGATCCAAGACTTGGCAGCCAGCGCCTTCTGGTTCTTGTCCACCTCAACGTGCACGAAGACCAAAGCCTTGGCAAGGTCGGGGTCAGCCAGCAACGACACGATCTCCTGCTTTGTATCAGCTCCGTGCTCCGAGACTTGGCGCACCGACGTCACGCCTGCAGTTTTGGCGACTTGAAGTGCGGCGTCCGATGTGCTGTAGAAAAAAATAGGTACTGGGCGATACCTAATACAACAAGAGAAACGGCCATTTGCGTTAGGGTCCGTCCACAAAGGCACAATGTGGTCAACTGCTTCTGACGCACACAGCAGAGCAACCGTCTTGTCCCTGTGCACCGAGCAACGCCCATAAGTCGCTCGTTTTAGGCTCCGAGAGTACGAGGGATCCACTGCAACCGCGTGCTGCTACATCATTGAAGACAGCCGAGCTGGCGCTTGGCTCGCCGTCAAGAAAGACCACGAGGATCGTTTGTGCTAGAGGCATGACGTCAGTATCCTCGAGGTTTCTAAAGTTGCGTGTTTTGGACACGTTGTGTTTGTGTTTTGGACAGACATTAGTTTGGTTCTTGACGGATCTTATTTTGGGGCAGGATGGGCTTTTTTGTAGCTTGACGGCACAGCTAGACTTCTGATGGGCTTTTTATTTGTGTTTTTTGACATGCTTTACTACCGTCATTTAACTCGAATGGTATAAACGTTCTTAGCTGTGTCGTTTGGTGCGACAAAGCACTCTCTGGAGAAGAGTGTAGAAACTTACGTACCCACGAAGTGTCCCCAAACGCCAGAGCATTCTCTCGCTCTACATCTTTACGGCACAACAACATGCATCCGTGGCAGCAAAAGCCGTCGTCTCATGTCATGAATGAACAGAGCTACAGGTGTTGGTTGTTCGTCAGATGGACTGGCAATCTAGCGTTCTACCGACGTCCTTGTTCTTTCTCTTGACATCCGTGAACGCCCGCTACATGTGTCAATCCAATGCAGCATGTATTTCCCTTATCAATGTCGTGGACAAAATGATTGCTTAGCCGAAAGTCGACATGCCCGCATCGATCCGGTTGCTTATCATTGATTTGTCGCCGACGAAAGATAGGGGAGCAAGCTCTAGACCTCGTCCTCGATGTACAAGTAATCAGGTCAGGTCGGTGGCTTGCATCTACTCATTTCGTTTATTCAAGTCAGCGGCTGGAGGATGGGCGTTGCGTTGAGAGGTGGATATCACCAATGTTGCCGTGATTGTTGTGTGACAAACGAACTCGTTCGTTTCACTGATGCGTTGGAGGAAAGAACGAGTCACAATAGAGACGACGGCTGACCTTGCCTGTGCAACGATAAGAAGACGCGACCGGCGACACGAAATCGTGCGATGGAGAAGAGAGCGAGCAGTCACGGCTGCCGAGCGAAAAGATTGACCATTGGCTTTCTTCCGCTTTCGCCATGCAAGGAACTAGGATAACGAAAGCGTTATACCTGTCAATGTTGCCTTTTTGGTACTACCCCGTTATTTCCAAACAGGTGGGTAATCAGATCTTCATGAGGACGACCTTGTGATGCAACATATCCACGATCTCTTGCGTCCTTGCTTGGTGCTACTATCGACTCGAACACGTCCAATGTGTCATGTGGTCCTTGATGGGTGCTACTGTAGCCACGATACACCCGCTGTGTCGACAGAAAGGCATGTTTGCTCATCAGAAGCTATCTTCGCTGCGCGCCGAGCTCTCATATATGCAATGTCACACAGATCAGTGGCGAGACACGAAGGTGCGGACTGTTTCGACAGTTAACGGCCAAGCTGCCTGATGATGCATTTTTCGACGAGCTCGACGCGTACCATGGCGGTCGCGCTGGAAAAGGAGGCCAGTTTGGTGCGAGGACTCTGTGCACGAAGCCTATCAGATAGACGTGGTATACTCATGGGCGCTCTAATGAGACCTACTGTTTCCATAGACAACAATCTCTAGCCGTTCCGAGAAAGGTGTATCTACTGATGCTGTGTCATCGGGGCGCAAGACGGCTGCTGCCCTGAACCAACAAGCGTTCGCTTTTTTTAGTTTGCTGACCCTTGTTGATATAATCGTGCAAGTATAAGTGCGCGTGCGTGACACACCGACACACCGACACGCTGACAAACACGGACACACATAAGCAGCTGCCGTAATTACTGGCTTTCACCGTTTGCAAACTCTCTAGCGTATTTGCTTTTTGGGCACGCAAGGACCTACTCGCGGTCTATGTCGATTTTGAGGAGGTTTCGTGTAAGTAAATCTTAGCATGATTCTGTGACAAGAAGTCAGTTACGTAAGTGGTTTCCGTGAGTTCCTCGTCGACGTTGAGGATATGTTCTGCTATCCTTACGAGCTTGTAAAGCGTGTCGGCAGCACTGGATCTGTAGCTCTCCCTTCGATTGCAAGCTCGAATCTGAGAAGTCCCCATGTTGTCGTCTCTTTCACCCAGGTGTAGATAGGCTGCATACCTTCGATTAGGACAAGATCTTGGCGAGAATTTGACATCACAACACGGTTCTTACCACCAGACGCATACAAGTGTTTGCACTACACACGACCTAGTATCAACCCACACAGACCAAGTCTATTGTTTCGAAATGAATGCACATGTGGTAAGTTCCGACGCGAAACATGCACGAAACGTTTTTGCTCGTAAGAATTGATCTGTATCGGAACGTCCGAAAGCGCAAGACACGACCGATTGGATTCTCACTCTCCAGTACCAATTTCAGGGCAGCTTACATCTGGTCAGGCGTGACGACGAGGACTCGATCGAACAAAGTTACTCTGCATCTTGAATGGTCATTTTTACGCGCTTCATATGTGGTTCACCCACGGCCAGCATTGCGCAGATTCATCGAGCACTTTGATTTGCTATTTGACAGCAGGGTCATCTGCGCCCAGAAATGCGCATGCTCGTGCTTGCTTACATCAACATGTCCAGAGAAGAGAAATTCTAGTACTTTTACAAACAGTTTTCAATGCACATTGTGCGCGGGCGTGCTGTAGTGATAACAAAGAATGCTGTCAAACGCACGTGATGTGCTTCTCGAGTCGCGAGGAGATGGGTGTCAATCGGGATGATGACATAGCGCTGCATCCTTTGCATCAGCTCACATACATTTGACACTACATTTAGCTGGTGCGACCAAAGACTTTGACGAGAGCCTACGTACGGACAAGTTCTACGAAAGTAGTATGGTAGCTACGAAGGGCTCAAAAGTCACAAAGCAGACTGTAGACGCGTGTGATTGCTCTGGTTGATAAAGTGCGTGTACGTGGTGGGTAGGCTGTAAACTTCCATTCGAGATCCGCAGCATTTCTGAAACGTCCTCTGTGCGTGTGACGCAGTATTTTGAGCCGTCTTACAACCAAGTAAATGCTGCATCACGGTAGCCTTCGTTTCATCCACCACCGAGAGCGTAGTGACACTTCAATGCACAATACAGGCGGGTCCTTGTTCGGCATATCGAGGACAACGATCACGTGTGAGGTCGTTTGCGCGAAGGACGTGTGTGATGCAACTTGTCTAAGTGACGCAACTTTCGGTGTGTCAGTCAGGCGTATCGATTTACTTGCAACAGGTCGAGCATTTTCGCGTCTTTGTTGTTCTTGACAAGTACGATTGGACAGTGTGAAGCAAGTCATTTGCGTCAGAACGTCGTGCACGTTAACACTTATCGATTGCACCCGTCTTCGAGCGAGTCATAGCCATCCTCGCCATCTCCACCTGCATCATTCAACTCTTCAAGCAGAGCCTTGACGCGCGCAATCGCTGAAGGAGGTGACACGATCGAGCAGGAATTGTACCGCTTCACCGCCACTAGCACAATGTCGCGGTCACCCGTCTGAGCAGGTTCCGAGTCGTCCAGCGCGACAGCAAGGCTACCCTCTGTCATCTCAGCTAGTTGCTCGCGAGCATGCTTGCCTGCGTTTTTCAACCACATTTCGCGTGATTCCAAGAAGGACGAAAACTCATCCAGTGGCAAGCTCAACACGCGGGCATCCATCTCAGGCAGCAGTGCCCGTGCACCGTCATCTGTGAGCTCGTCAGAAACAACGTCGGTCCCGGTTCTTGGTCGCAGCGCAAGCACGCCAGCATGATAGATACTTAACCGCCCACGAAACTGGTCTATCACCAGCGACGCAACTGCAGGTTTCACCACGTGCACTGCACGCTTTTGACGGGCCATACCTGTGCGCTCCAGAAATGCCGAGTTGCCACGAAGTCCAAAGAATGACCGCGTGCATGCTAGATGCTTCTTGTCGAGGCTAGTAAAACTGCCGAAAGGTTTTTCAGCCTTCGCCTGCTTCTTGTTCTTTTGCACTCTAATCACCTTATTCGTTGGTCGAGAGAGTGGGGTCGGACCTATCGCAGCTGAGGTCGTATCGGTTTCACGACTCTTACGAATGACTGCGAAAAAGAAGCCGTGGGTATCGTTCTGATGAGGCAGCACACGAACACAGCGCTCGAGGTGCAACCCGTCGCACTCTTCCGATGCCGGGGCCCACATAGACGGACGGTAACGATGTCGCTGGTCATCCGGGACGTCATCCCAAGTCGCCACATCAACAACGTCCCACTTTGTCAGGCCGTGCGAGCGCTTCAGTCCTTCCAGAATATTGTCGGTCTTGACAAGTTCCAGCAAACCCTTCGAGCGGCGAAGTAGCTCAGCGACCACTGCCTCATCCTCGATCGGATTCAGCGATCGAGTACTGTACAACAACGTGCCACCAGTACGCACAAGGGCGAGCGCATGTTCAGCAAGACCAACTTGGCTCGGGTGGTGTGCCAGCGCTTGTTCGGGATTCCACGTACGCCACTTCTCAGGGAGCTTGCGAGCCAAACCATCTCCAGAGCACGGGGCACAGCAGATGACGCGATCGAAGAGACCATCCGCAGACTCTGGGACAGGAAATTCCTCCGGCTTGTGCGCTGTCACGACGAGCTCGCGAACGAGTGGCAGGGTGCGTGTCACGTTTCGAACCGCCGACGCCGCCGCTGTGGCATCACGTTCATTCACAACCAGTAGACTTGCTGCGTTGGCACTGGTCTCGATACCAACACTGCTCGAGGAGACAGGACTCAAATACTCAGCTACGATCGGTGCTCGGTGTTCACCACCACCGCAGAGATCCAACACACGGTGACCCGGTTGAATGTTCAAGAACGCTGGGAGCACAGTAGCAGCAGGGTCCTGCCGAAGGAGCGTGCCCAGGGAGCCTTGGGCTCGCACGTACGTTTGCAGCGACTGCAGACCTTCCACCTTGCGAAAAGTCTTGCTGTCCACTGACAGCTTCCATAGTCTCTTCTCGGGCACCCACGACTCGGGCCCAAAGTGCACGTGCAGTTCGCCGCCTCCTACCGGCACCGGCACTGTCACTGTCTCGAGATCAAAGTCCATCTCCAACGTTCCCGTCACGATCTCGCTCAAGCTCCTGTAGTTGCCATTCACACGCACGTACACGGGTAGTGGCTCGCTCAAGCACGCCATCAAGCGCGCAAACTCGTGCTTCTCCAAGCCCAGACAGCGCCCGTAGAACCGCTCGAACGCGACATTCTCTCGGTCAAACTTGCGCCACACAATCTTCTCGGCTTTTTCTTCCCTGCATCTCTTCTTGCGCTGGTCCAGCACGTCCTGCTCCACGTTCAGGGTGCGCTTGCCTGTCCTCTGCTTTGCCGTCTTCTGTACAACGTCGTACACATTGTCGCCGTCCTCCAGAGACGGCAGCGGAATCGTTGCGGCTCGATTCGTGTCGCCCACTGAGTCTGCGTCGTCGCTATCGTCAGTGCTCGTGTGTTGCACACGTTCGTGCGACGCTTTAGCTGTCGGAACAGCAGTTGATGGAACATGACATGACGCTGTTGTTCCGGACGGTCGCTGCCGCTTCTTGTCTCGACGCAGCGCTGCACGACTCTTGCCGCCCATGGTGAGGTGGCGCCGATCGTACCCGATATGGGTACGTCGTTGGCCCAAGTCGGCAGTAGCAACAGCCCGAGAGCCACTGCTTTGTTTTGACTGGCTACAAATGAAAGCGCACCCAGAGGATGAAGACGACGACGATGATGATGTTGCTGTGGTTTATGTTGCTGTGGTTTATGTTGCTGTGGTTTATGTCGCTCGAAGCCCACCTGAGCACCTTTCTTCAAACAGTCTCTAGTGACAAAAAGTGAGCCCCTTTTCCTCTGAGTCGATGGCTCGCTTTCTACCAATGAGATCATTGGATCGATTGTTGATCGATCGCTCCTCAGACAAAGCAGAGAAAGAGAGTGCGCCGTGCAGCGAGTTGGCGAGAATGGAGGCGGTGACGGAGCACTTGCAAGCACTGGTCGAAGCGTGTGTGGCCGTCAGTGCTGCTGCAGCAATCTCCACTCCGGCCGGGGACGCTGCTGCGGCTCGAGTGCACAGCGTCGATGCGTCTCTGGGTTTACCCCCAGAACATCTCGAGTATTGGGACGTGTTGTGCGACGACTCGCTGCCATTGGTCGAAGACCTGGCGCTGCTCCTGGCGAGCACCAATGTGTCGACCAGTAAGATGCTAAGTCTGCTGCGCGTGATACTCGTGCACGCATCGTTTCATTGCGCTGGACTCGTGCGATTGGTCCAACTGACGTTCCACGGGTTCAAGTTGACTAAGCGCTGGGACGTGCTGAGCGCTGTTTCGAGCGAGTTACTGGATGCGATCTATGCGAAGATACTGCAGAGCGATACCCGGGTACAAGCGTTTCGTTTCTATGTTGACGTGCTTGGCGGGTTCCAGCATTCGGCTGAGCTGTTGACGGCAAATGTGACGAAACTTATTCAATTGGCGAAACTATTTAGCACGGAAGACAATGAACAAAATAGGGAGATGGCGCATTTATTATTGGTGCTGTGTGCTGCGCTGGAGCACTGTCATCGAGGCTATGAAGCAGAAGCTATGGCGCTCCGCCGAGCGATGCGAGTATATTTTGGATCCCGCGTCGTCCGCCCTACAGCTGCCGAAGCTGAAAGACTGCTGCGAGCTAGTGCGTGGGTGCTTCCAGCGGAGAAGCTGGATGCTATGCTGCCTTCTATTGAGGGAAAATGGGTCGCAGACGAGTTCACGAGTGATCAACATTGTAATGGAGGACCTCACCAAAATGCAGGCTCAGTGTTGCTAAAAAAGACGACGAACTGTTTTGCATACGAAGTGCGGGCGACGATCACAGACCCCAACCACAAGTTTGAATTGACCGGGTCTTTATTCCAGCGAATGCCAGAGATGCAGGTGCTGCTGTCACATTCCGATACGATGGCGGCATCAACGTGGGATTTCGAGGGACATTGGCGAGAGTTGAATGAAGAGATCACTCCTGCAGCGTCAGCTGCACCGGTGGCTACGATACCAGCTCCGACCTGGAATTGTCGGGCGTGCACGATGAACAATGAAGGCTCTTTGGCAATATGCTCAACGTGCGGGACAAGGCGACCGGTAGAAGCTGCTGCATTAGTAGTCACTAGCAGTGGCAAAGGTAACAATCCTGCACCATTTTCGGCAGTGCTTAGCGCAGATATGTCATTTATGCGCATGAAGTGGTCGCGCGGGGAGCAACAAGGAGTTTGGCTTGCACGAAAGCAGACTGTCGAAACCGCTTTTGATCTTGCGACTTCGCTCGCGGCTGGAAGTGACGCAATGACGGACACTACTTGCTTGCCAGCTTTTGTTTTTTCTCCTGAAGGCGTCCCAGCGAATATCTTAGTACTAGAGCGACCCATTCTATCCACATCAGACCACACCGAGTTTACTGTTCAAGTGTGGATTCGCCCGCAGCACGCGCCGCCAGAGATTGAAGCTCAAGTGGTGATTGCTAATGGTCATGACTTCGAGTTGTTACTAACAAGTGCAGGACGCCTGGTGTGGCACCTCGCTGGAGGACGCTTTACAGTGACTTCCCGTGACGTGGTGCAGTTTGGCGTGTTTTGCCACGTGACACTTTCGTTTGGCCATGATACGATGGGTCTCCTGGTCAATGGCTCGATGGCAGGTGAGACCATAAGACCAGACGAGACACACCATTCTGTAGTAGGAGTGTCGTTGCTGACTATCGGTGGCAGCATCGAAAACTGCGATTTGACCAAAAACGGAAACGCGCGAAGTTGTTTCTATGGACAAATGCTTGATTTGCGCATCTATTCGACACTTCTTATGAACGACGAGGAAACGTGGAGTATACGGAATGCCTTATCTGGTCGGGAGGAACATCTCGTGGGATATTTTCCATTCGTTGGTGATTCAGAGCGACTGTTGATGGATCTGTCGAGCCAGCAAAACCATGCATGTGTCGTAGAGGGATACCAGTTGTACGACTCTGTTCATCATGCAACGATCCCATCGGTCCGTAATTTTGCCCCTGTCACTCCAGTACATGCTATTCCCGTGGAAAATACACTTGCCATTTCCCTGGGAATCGACTTTATTGGCTGTGGCAAGTTTTCTTTTTCTGAAGGCTGTCGGGGACTTGACATCGACTGCGGACATTCTGGAGCTACTTTATGGCGTCAAAATGCTGTGTCCATCGCGTGTGGCTTTCAGTCTTTCTTTTCACTTGCACCGCCGGTCTCAGCAGAGACGCCTTCTTCGCGCAGAACCGTTTTATTCGCGCTGTGTGAAACCACATTTTGGAATCTCGTTCCGCTGTTGTCTGAAGCAATTATTCTACCGCATGTTGCTAGTGACGGTGGAAATGTGTCACCCTTCTTGTTCGATGGCTCTGCAATGTTACTTAGCGTTAGCTCAGATGTCGTAGCTCCGGGCATTCTAATGTACGAACTGGGTCTGTACATTTGGTCCGGAAAGCAGGGTCATCCGTTGTCGCGCGTATATCGCGTCGCTGGAAACTCTTCTACTTCCCCGTCAGACGTCCAAATCAAATACGGGCTGCCAGAGCGTGCGTTATCAGTTGCCATCGGCGGCGTCGGCATTGTCTTTGAAGTGGCGTTGGATCTTGAGCTTGCGCTTCGTGTGGAGCCAGGCAGTCCAGTTCGTGTAGGTTTGATTTTCCCTGCGAGCAAGGATTCCATTAGCCAGCGAAGCTCAAGTAGACTGACTAAGTGGACGTTTGGATCGTCGCTAAATACTAGTTTGCCCAAAGACGCTGCAAACTCCATTCTGGGAAATGTGTACTCTTCACTTCGACCAAAAGGCTCAGATGGCGACAGAGATCACATCAATGGTGCGGACAGTACCATTCTGTGCACCCGTATGAGCACGGATGGAAGCGCGGTCGCACAGCAATCGTATGGGTGTCAGACGTGCAACTTGGTACACGGCAATAGCGTTTGTCGGTTTTGTGCTGTCATTTGTCACGAGAGCCATGAGCTTGTTGCGCTGGGTGTAACAACAACAGCTTGCGCTTGTCGTGTCCGTGGTAATGGCCTTTGTCGATGCAACAGTGCTGTTCAAGCCTCCGATTTCCCCATGCTCACAGAGCCAGTGAATGCTTCTCTATGGGGCTGCAGCAAATGCACCGTGATCAATAGCAGAGATCAAAAGCAATGCAGTGTATGTGGCAACAATGCACCCGAGCAGGATGCTTGTTCCACGTCTGCGGTACCGGAGCCCACCTTTTCGGCATCAGCGCCAGTCGAGCAACCAACCCCTGCAGTCGCCTGGTCATGTGACGCCTGCACAATGTTGAATGAAGCAAATGACACGAAGTGCTCCGTTTGCGATACCTTGCGGACTAAGCAAGCTGATCCTGTAGCTGCCGAAACTTACGACAAGAACAAAACCGGTGAAGGACTCACGACCCTCTACTACGCAGCTGGCGATGCTGTCAAGCAGGACCATCCGATGGCGATGCAGCCAACTTGTTCGTGGATTTGCTCTGCGTGCACGATGGAAAATAAGACCTTGGACACAACGTGCCACATGTGTGGGACGGTACGAGAAGTCCCGGTTGCCACTGCTGTCGACTCTCCAGAGGTGATGATGGCTCTACCTGCTCCTAAAATTGATGATACGTCTGCGTCCACTCCGGCGGGCATGGATACAGATATGTGCGGGGGTGATCGGGCGATCACTTCTGGATCCGTCGTGACTACGCAACCTGCAAAGATCGAAAACATGAAAATTCTGGATGAATACAAGCGCACAACAGCTACTGCATTCGATCGCTTGCTAGAAGTGGAACGCATAAACGATTCGGTGTGGGAAACTACTGGAGGCAAAATGCACGTTGTACTTGGCAATAGTTTTGTAGGTGAATATATCTGCGGAACATACTTGGCGAGGGATGGAACACTGAGTGGACTTGCTCGAGCGACGGAAGAGGGAAGCTGGAAATTGGACGGTCGATTTAAGAAAGCGAGTCAGTCTCAGTCCAACGCGTGCGTGCTTTCCTGGAACAAAACAGCTTCCCGCTTTGACGGAAAATGGTATCGGGGCGATGGGTCGGGCGACTGGAAGTGCCTTGCATCACCGTATACATCTGATTTCCGTGGTTTAGCCTGCGCTGACGCAGTGAAAAAGCCAACGGAGTATCAACCGTACTATACAGGCATGGTGAATATGAAGCAGAATTTGTCCAATGTCTGCTACCAGAACAGCTTCCTTCAGACTCTTTACATGACCCAGGATTTCCGTCGCTTCATCATGTCGTGTGATGCAAAAAACTATGCAGTACCGAACACGGAAAACGGGTCAACGAGTGGTGGAAACGTTGTGGCAGCAGTTCAAGATCTTTTTGCTCAGATGACGGCTTCGCAGAGACCCTTTGTGGCAACGCACGCCCTTCAACAATGTTTGCCCGCTGAGTTCAAGAATGGGCGTCAGCAAGACACATCGGACTTTGCGCATTTCCTAATTGATTCCCTCAGCCAGCGGCTGAGTCAGCATCAAGCCGCTCCGGACGAGATTCCATCGATCTTCGGTGGCCACCAAGCAACGATTCTAGCGTGCAAGACATGCGGCAAGAAATCTGTAAATCGGGAATACTTTTGGGAATTGTTGTTGAACATGATCGATCTTCGGTACACGCCTATCACTAGCATTTCTGCTGTAAGTGGATCTGCGATGGACATTCGAACTCCGGACGGCTACGAACGTTTAAACGCTGACTTGAACAAGGATCGCACGGGTGCACCGTACGTTTACCTGTGCGTACAGAGATGTCCGGAACGGGTCATTTCTGGTACTTCGATGGAAGATGAAGGTGACCGGGTCATGGCTATAACGGAACTGGTGGTAAGGGTGGCACTAAGCACCGATCCAAAGCCCTCCTTGCCCGGGTTCGAGCGTGTGGAACTAGATCTGAATGTTGGTGGTAGCACTACTTCTGGATCGAAGAAACAAGTGTATTTGTTATTTCGCCGCGAGCCGAACGGATCGCCGATCACTGACTTGCAAATAATGTATGGCAACGAGTCGATCCCCGATGGCTTCAAGCAAATCCAGGTGGACCTGAACCAGGGCGAGGGCTCGAAGGTGTACTTGTGCTATCGTTGTGACATGCCCATCACGGATTTAAAAATCGTGAACAGTGGAATTCCTGGGTACCGAATGGTGGACCATCTACTCAATGTTGGTCATGAAGATGTGGTGAAGCAGTACCTTGCGCTAAAAGTCGGAGGCCATGAACCCTGCTTGACGGATTTGAAACTCGTGCAAGGTTCGGATGTGTCTGCATATGAGGAGCAAGGATGGCAGTCAATTGGGAGCCCTTTTGCTTCAGCGGCTTCCGCGGATCCTGCGTTGGATGGAAGGCCGTTCGTGCCAGCACAACTAGTTGTTCGCCGCGGCCACGGCAACCCCATTTTCGCTATTGATGTGTTCCGCGCGCCCCGTCAAGTGCCTAAGTACAAGGACTACGAGATAATCGAGCTTTCCCCAGCTGAAAGCTCTTGTACGGATCTCGTCACTCGACTAAAAGGAGACTGGGTGGGGACTGAAGAAACAGAGCGCGAGCGAAAAGGGGTGCGGATACGCTCTGTGTCTGAACCGATACTGGATGCGCTGCTTGTGAAGGGATGTGTGGACGATAAGGGCGAACTGTGTTGCATCGTGCTGCGCGTTTCGACATGGGCAGATCCTATTGCACGAGAGTCTGCTCCTGGTGCAGAACCTGGTGTACCCATCGACCTGACTTCCAGCGAAACTAGGGATAGCTATGCTACTCCATGCACTTATCGTGTTTCTGGTTATTGGAAAAATTTGAATGTGCCGAGTCCTCAACTCGTTGACGTGGAGCTACGACCTGCTGCTATCGGTGTAAGTGGCGCTCCAACTACTCCCAGTGACATGTTGTCATCACTAGGAGCACCAGCACAGTCGTTTTTAATGAGTGGAATCATCGGGGATGGAAAAGGAAGCCTCATTGCGATTCAAGGCGTTCAGAGGTCGCAAAAGGTAGACATCAAGTGGCCAATCTGTGAGATCATGGTGTTGCGCGGTGATGAGTGCGTTCCTGAAGGTGTCGAGGTTGTTCGAACGACATGTTCTGGTCGATCAGGGAATTTGCTGGCTCAGACAGCGTCACCTCGCACGTTGTACTTGGCGTTCAAACGTGAGGAGGAGCCGGCTAACGGCTACATTACAGACGTTTGCGTAATCTATGGCGAGATTGATGCTGTTCCAGAACACTACACATGCATTCATACGACGCCTGCGGGGCATTCGGCCAACGTGAACGATGGCACACTGGGCGTGCCTATTTTCATCTGTTTCAAACAGAGTGGAAGTACAACCGCAGTCAGCGATGAAGGTGTTGCACCCAAGAGTTTGATGGATCTCGCGTTGATGTGGACATCGGGTGTTGAATCAGACGATGTTCCTGCCGGGTTTACGAAGATCCAGCACACCCCTCTTGGTATGGAAGCAAATTTGAATCAAGGCACTTGTGGCGTGGCAATTCACATTTGCCAATCGAAAAGCGAGACAAGAGACATTGTCAAGCCGCTGGACAACCCTCTGAATGGGGAATACGAGATCACGAGCTCCCTTTTGCCGGCGTTTGGACGGTTCCTCACTCTGTCGGTCGTAGAGAAACTCGAAGACGCGCGTTTGGTAGAGGGCAGTTTCGGCGCCGTGCTACATGCTCAGTTTACTGGATCGATGCGTGGTATTTTGTTTTCGTCGAAGCACCAGCAGACAGGAGGTACCAGGAAACGCACGCTTGTTGGCGCGTGGAGGACCGAGAGCTCGTTGGCTAACGGCGTAGGCGCAAGTGCGAATGACTTTTTGCCTCTGAGCTATCCATTCGAGTGGACTCTGAACGAGACATGGACTGAACTGGACGGATGGTGGAGTGGCGCAGGGAGTATCCCACCGACTGATGGTAACCCCATTGTGTCTATTTCTGCTAGCGCGACTTCCAGCAATGCAGCAGTGGCTGGACTGCCTCGTGCTCTCACTGGCGGCAAGTGGAAACTCATCAAAGACTCCTACGTGCACGTGGCATTCAAGAAAGACTACAGCACCGAGTGGCAGGACGGCCAGCTTGTGTTCTCCGAGCGCGTGTGGCGTCACGACATTGCGTCGATGTTGTCGCGCTTTGTCGCCACGCGCACGTTGGGCGGTGACAACGCGCTCTCATGTAGTGTGTGTGAGCGCAAGACCGAGTGGCGGACGCACACAGTGATCGATGAGCCGCCCGAGCACCTCATCATAACGCTGAAGCGCATGTACTACGATTGGAACCAGCAGAAAGCGTGCAAATGTCTGCACGACGTGCAGTTCCCTGCACTGTTGACGCTGCCGTCGCTCACGTCCGAGGAAGAGCTTGCCGTGTATACGTCAGAAACGGACGACTCAGCACGCGCAAAGCAGCAGCACCCGTCGCGTCACTATGGTCTCTATGGCGTGCTCGTGCACTCTGGGCTTACCGCTAGCTCTGGGCACTACTACAGCTTCTGCCGCGAGAGCGACGATAGCACTTGCCAGCTGCATTTGGAGGATTCGCCTCTTTCTCCGTGGATCAAGTTCAACGACACGAAGGTCGAGCACTCGAGCTGGAGAGAGATCAATCGACTCGTGGCTAGCACCGTGTCGGACACTGTGTATCTGCTGCTCTACAAGAGACTGTCGTACGAGCCGTCACATCGAAACAGCGAGGGAAGTCAGGATGCAGGAGCGATCGAGAGTGGGAATGCGGACGACGAGGAAGCCATGTTGCTTGCCAAGGCTATGGCGCTGTCCATGTCGGCGGCTCGACACGACCAACAGCGGCATACTGAAGAGGAAGAAACCAAAGGAGATCCCGATGCTGTTTGTGACCTGAATGGTGACGACGGAGCTCCTCGATTGACTGGCACGTTGACCAAGGTAGTCCTCAAAAAGGTACGCTCGACAGGGTTTGCTGCTACTGTTGATGTCGGTGCTGACTCTGTTTTGTTGTACGCTCTTTCAGGTAGAGGACGAGAACGCAGCCTATCTGCACGATATGGCAGCTGCAAGCTCCAGCGCGCTCCATGCGGACGATATACACACGCTACTGGTGCTACGCCACTCACTGCCGGTGCGTCTACGTGCGCTATTGGACAGAGTGTGCTAGTACAGCATATACCCCTTCACGGTGCTGCTCGGCGCTGCGTGGAATGCGATAGAGAATTACCAGAACGATGTCAAACGAAGTAAGTCTGTGCATCGATGTTAGTGTGGATGTGCACGTGATGGGGTCGGAAATCGACGAGCTTGCTGTACGTAACGTCAAGCTAGAAGCACGTGGCCGAAGAGCAGGGAGGAAGCTACTTGAACAGCACGGCACAGCAGAGCGACAACGGGTCCAGCCTCACGCAGCAGTCGCGACAATGGATTGGCGCTTGAACACACCGGTCTGCTCGCCTTGCGCCTGCTCCCATCTCGCCAGCTTGCTGCGGTACGTCTGGATGAGGAACTTGAGAGCGGTGGGACCGCCAATGACAGTCTCGAGCTTGTCGCGGCTGCGCAGGTCCAAGAGCGAGAGTTCCGTCAGCCCCTCCGAGATGGTGTACACGGCGTTTAGCGTGAGCTTCGTGCAGCCCCAGAGACGCAGCTCCTTGAGCTGCGTCATTGACGCAGCCACTTGCACGATAGCAGCATCACTCAGCCGCGAACACTGCGAGAGGTTCAGCGAGCGCAGTCCTGGCAGAGACGCGCACAACAACTGCACGCCCTGATCCGAGACCTTGTAGCAGTAGCGCAGATTCAAGTCCTTGAGCAGTGACAAGTGCGTGGCGATGGCAGCCACTACCTTGTCGTCCACCTTGTGCACGTAGCGCAGATTCAGCCGCTCGAGTCGCGAGCAGTGCTGCACGACATGAATGATGGCCGCATTCTCGACGTTGTGGCATCCCCATAAACTCAAGTCGCGGAGCTCTGTGCACTGCGCAATGCCCCGCACATCGTCTCCCGTCACAGTGTGGCAGCCCAGCAAGTCCACGACCTGCAACGAAGCTGCGTTCGCGCGCAGCAGCTTCTGCAGCGCGTTGCGGTCCACTGCCATATCTCGGAACCGCAGCTCTCTCAAATTACAGCACAGCTCCGCCACGAGCCCGAGCGCTTCGCCGTCCATTGCTGCACACTTGTTCAGCTGCAAGACCTTGAGGGGCGCTAGCGCCGCTCTAGCCCCAGCGCTCTTCAGCACAGCCGCGTCAAAGCCGTGGCAGCCCGCAAGACAGAGCGTCGTCAGTCCCGTGGGCGTCGCGTGCTGGAGCAGCGCCGTCCAAAAGCCCGTCGACTCGTGCTGGAACTTGGCCCGACACAGGTGTTCCGTCTTGCTCCGACAGGCTTCGCACTGGCCACAGTACGACACGACATCGGGCGCCGCGAGCGGTTCTCGATGCAGCAGCTGTTTGTTGCAGCGCAAGAGGGCGAACCGCTCGCGAAGGCTCAAGCACTCGAGCACTTGACGGAGTGTGTCACTGCTCAGCGCGTCTTCGAATCCACTGCGATGGGCCATCAGGACAGCTACTGCAACACGTACAGGCGGTGGACTACCGCCAGTCACGCGGTCGCACAGGTTCTTGGGCTCGTAAAGGCCGAACGGGTTTCGTGCGAGCGCTGGTTGATCCACTGGTGCTGCGGGCAGTCCTTGAGCATTCCTTGGCTGCTGGACGACGGGCCGATGTGGAGGGCGCTTCGAGACGGCGTCTCGCGCGGGCGATGGGGCAAAGCGAGCGACCGGGGGACGTTTCGATCGCGACGAGACGGTCTGCTCACGTGCCACCTGTTGATTCAAAAGTGAGGTCGGGCAGCTGCGGGGGTGTGAGTGAGTGAGTGAGTGTGTCGATAGAGAACGGGTGGGAGTTTTGGGTTGCGATTTGTATGGTGCGCTGGTCTGGGCAGCAGCCGTTAGCGGACGGGATTGTTCTCGTGTACTACGTCGCACTGAATTCGTCGGTGGCAGTTGGGCTCTTGACGCTATCGCGTGAACGAGAGAGAGAGAGAGAGAGGCGATAGAACGACGTTTTTCGTTAGGCATGGACGAACTGAGGGATCCTGTTGATGTTTGCATAGGGAAAGCGAGAGATTGATAACGGTGGAGTGGGGTTTGTATCGGAGCAGCCGTTCGAGAGGAGAGTGCCGTCGATGAGGTGCGTTTCTTAGCTGAGACGTAGCAACATGGGACCGATCTGTCCGTCATGGGACCGATCGATGCCTCATATGACCGATCTGTCGCTCATGGGACCGCTCATTCTCTCATGGGACCGATCGTTTTCTCATGGAAGACCGATCTTTTCCGTAACGTCGGTGAACTGAATCTACTCTTGCAGCTGGAACGTACAAGAGGGTCAAACTTTGCGGGGTCTCGATTTGGTGGGAGCAGAGAATCAAGCTAAGCAATTGAGGTCGCACTAGCATCGAGCCTTGTAGGTACAATGGCGAGCACATCGAACCGTGAACAAGTGATCTGTATGGCGCGTTCATTCCCACTGGGTCACTCTACGTTGCGCCGCGTGTGCTGCGAGTGTACAGTTGTGCGCCGAATCGCACTGCTCCCTATACCAGACTCTACTTTCTGGTCGAGTACTGGACATTTGTCGTTAGTAGGCCCTGACGATGAGCGCATGGTCATTGGATATCCTGCATGTTCTCGAACGCGCGTTCTTCGTGACGTGTCCTGTGTGGACAATTACAATCGCACTGCATATTGCATGGACAGCGCTCGGAACACAAAACAAATCGAATGGAATTTTCTACGGCTTCTCGTGCGATGGCACCAAAAACCAGATACACACGGGCTTTTTCTTCCTTGATTTGTATCGATCCCAACTCGTTGCCAGCTGTAGCGATCGTTCAAGCGCTCTTTTTGTTCAATGGAGGCTGCTTCGGACTCTTAGTCTTCGACGTCAAGGCCTGTGTGATCCTGCGCTCCTTCTTTGGTACCTTCATCCTCCACCACATCACGAAGACATACGTAGCCACAGGTAAAAGGCTTTTCGCGCGCCTTTTTTTGAGCCAGAGGCACACTCCTTGATGACAACGCGGGCAAAGGCTGGCTCGAAAGTCGGTATCCGGGCGGAGCTATAAAGCCTCGGGCACAACAGCACATGCACGAAGAGAAACGTCACGATCTGTCATTTCAGCTACGCACTTTTTTCATCGGGCGTTAGCTGTCGACTAGAGTTACTTACACCTGGGCGTGTATTCCACGCGATCAAAGTGTACCACAAACGCTCCAAGTACTTCTGTAGGTAAATGATTCGACACGCGCATGCTCTCTGCTCTGGTATAGCAGAGAAAGTTGATGCTCTTTCGATCAACGCGAACTCGCGCACCGTGTTGCTATGATGCATGCGCGGTTGCTCCTTTTCATTAGCGTCGCTTGAGTACCTGCTGCATTGAGTTTGTCCTGTTATATTGCGATGGCAAAGATCAATACCCGATCCGTTGGCTTTTCGTGGTCTATCGAGTCGCCTAGTTCAATACCATATCGTCATGATTTTTTCAAAACTAGACGACACATGCGTGAAGCAATAGCTTGTATCGGTATCGTATAACATCAACTAGAGGAAGTACTTAAGGAAGTACTTGGCTCAGTATCTTGTTTGGATCATTGTTGCCCGAAGTAGGACGAATCCGCGTTGTTATATTGTATCGGACGGAAGACGGCTTGGTCCATACCATCCTACATTCCGACCCGAGCAAAAAAATTCGCAAGAAGAGGCTTCTTGCTTTCAAATGCTTTGTGTCGCATACTCAGCTTGATCTTAGGTTCGACAGCGTACCGTGTGTCTGAAATAAGTGTACGATCTCATTCTCCGATGGGATGTCAGCGTCATTTGACGTTACGGTTGTGCTGATTTTGTCGAGATCTGACTGAGCAATATTGCTTGCCTATGTGCTCAGCACACAAGAAGACTTGGTGCTTCGCGTGTACGCTCATTTGTGTGCGTTGATGATCACGGAGAGGTAAAAGACACGAATCGCAGTGATTGGTCTTTTCTACGTCACGACTTATACCTCATTAGCAGCGGCAGGGCATTGCGATATCGGTTCACAAGCATGTGCGACTCTTTCCCAAGAGCGTCGAAGGGTGTGGACATACATCGCCAAGGTAGAGTAGCCGCTGATGATGTGTGCTAGCGAAAGGTACCATCCGAATCGGACATAGCTCAATCTTGAAGAACGAATTCTCATCCATATTAAGATGTGTTACATATACACAGTGCCACATTTACATCGACGTCAATCATTGATTCGATCCTCGATCATAATCCGTCTTGTTGCCTCCGATTCGTATGTCGCTCAAATCGATTGCGTAGAGTCGGTAAGCAGCATCATACCACATTCCTACATCCTATCTATCGTGAACACGGATGAGCAACCGTTTCGGAACGTAGATATAGATACAGAGATGTATAAGCTTCCACAAAGAGAAGTTCTCGGCAATGAAATGCACGAGGTGCATTCTGCATTCCCTCTTCGCTGACCTGCTCTTTTGCTCGAGCACCTTCTTTTTACGAATCCTGCGACGAACTATGACTGTAAACAATCAGTGGCGGGTTTCGGAATGATGCGTGCGACTAGCTATAAGCATATCGTGACGGTGCGGCGTGAATCCATACAGGCGACGTAGGGTCTGCAGGAAGGCGCTTTGAACCGACATTTACCTCGTTTCCGCGGTACTTCCGCTGACGTCAGTGCCTTGAGAAGCACTCTGTTGCAATCTCTATAGCGTCGAGCTCTTAGCTAGTACTGAGTTCCTGAGAACACCAGATGTATACACCTTGACACATCATGATGTATATTACCTAGCTTAGCTCTTTCTGGCTACAGACGACTTGCCTTGCACCTTGCACTTTTACGACTGAGCTTTGCATGAATGCGATTGTAGCGAATCTGCGAACCAACACCTTCGTTAGTCGACTCGCCCCGTTCTGATATCCGCCGTTTCCCTTGTCCCTTGATTCAATCGGATTCAACCAACGGTAAACGGACTCGGGATGTTTCAACGACTTCAAGTTGGGAACATATCACAACACACTCATAGTCCACGTGCTTGCAGCAAGATAAAGGCGTGCGCGTATACACAAACTTCGTATTGGTAGAAGCCTGGACGTCAGCAGCGGATGATTGTTCATCGTTCATTAGCGAGGCTGTCGTCCATGTTGATTGCTGCGAATTCAGAAAGCTGATAATGATCATATTTACGCACGTGGGAAAAGACTGTGTGTAAAGTGTACTTATGTAAGTCTCTGATCAATTTGCAACGGTGGGAATACACAAGTGCGCCAAACGCAGATACGAGAAGATAATCCTCGCGAGACGACGACGAAATGAACAATGCTCGACAAGATTTAAAAGTGATATCACAAACGGATAATTTACAAAAATGCACCACAAAACGAGAAATAGTCATTTGCCAGAAGGTAATAAAAAATAGCGCATGCCAAATGATTTAGAGCACCACTGATGTATACGATGCGACCAAAATATACACCTGCCTTTCATTCTTCACGTACACTCACATGTTTAAGCTTCCTTCCCTCGCTTATTACATCAATCAGAAAATTGTACGTCATCTAAATCGCTAGCAGCCGTTTTGCTCGAAGGTAAAGGTGCGCCAAGCCTTTTAGGCGTGGCTTACCAATGTCCTTATCGTCGATGATAAGGTTACGTTTGTTTAACCTCGTTCGTCTAGCTTTGTGGCTATGGATTGTATAATGCATAGCTGTCAACGCCGAATAGTTATTATATGAGATTAAACAGTTTCGGGTTACAATGGCGTACAAACAAGGCTCTGTAAGATGTTCAAGATACGACTGGAGGCAGCATGAGCTGATGCATCGACAGGTAGCAGTAAATGACAATATTGTGAACAGCTGACGGAATGTGTTGGTGCTATCGCAGGTAGTCACGTGGATGCTTGTGGGTCCATGATAAAAGATGCACATCGACAAAATATGCAACACGGACGAAATACTGTGGTTGTTACAAAGACGAACCTGTTAATGGCGGTATTGTTGTAGTGTTAATATGGACAAGCGGTATGGATGCTGCAAAGATAGACGCTGTAGTTTGTTGTTATCTGCAGTGGGGAACATAATGCACATAAGCGTAGCAGCTTGGTCCACTTGGTCCACTTCGGGCATGAGACACAATACACTGATACATCATTATGCTACACGTTCACAACAAAGTCGCTCTACCTGCGAAGGTTATAAATATCATGATGCTCTCATCGTAGAGATCGTGTACCCTGTGACAAAGCAACCGGCGTGTTAACGGCTTTCACCTTGTAAAGCTATGTGATTAATGGAGACGAAATGACTGATTTGGCACCCATTAAACCGCCGAAGCTGCTTTTGTTCATCATTTGCTGCAACACTTTTACAAACGTCATCGAAACGTTGATAGTTATCTATTCGATTCACAGCATTTGTTCATTCGGTCGATTTATATACACGAGTGGTGAATTTATATATATTTCATGCAATTTTTCTTCAATGGGGTGCATCCTTCTAATCAGTTTTTGGTCTTTTCTATCTTTGCTAAAAACTTATTATCTTCTTTTTTATCTGTGATTTCATTGAAGAAATAGAGGCAAAACATAGCATGTACAGAATTTGTCGCGTCTTTGAAGCCTTTATGACAAAGGCACGAGCGTCACCATGTAAACGTTGCACTTTACGGTTGGGTATCCAGTCATGTCGCCTTATGACGTCCAGATCTCATCGATTTGAGCATCGCACAATGCGACGGTGCCGGTATCAGGGATTGCATCGAAAGCATCGACGAAGACACGCTCGGGTCGTTGCAATCCAGACGGCGTAGACCAATCGTCAGTACACCAGCACTGCACGCGAGTTTCCCGTCAGTCGACGTGCAGATCGCGTCGATTTGTAAACAATTTGTCACAACAAGTTCGACGGCTTGTCCACGTCATGGATTGTATTGGACAGTCGAGCGATAGCCCGTCCAAAGGCTGCTCGAAATGTGACGTGCCCACTGGCACTATGAGGATCGACAAGAGGGCAGCAATCGTGACCAAGTGCACTTGTTATGTGGCACGTCAGCACCAACCTCAAAGAAGCGAGCGAGCACTCTGGTCAGTTGCATTGCACGTGTGGCTGGCCGCTCATCAACGTACGTTTGCGGACGTATGGACCTATATGTGATCCTCAACAAGATAGTGCGGTTGACTCACTCGGCTCCAATGACCAGTGTAGTGTGGTAGAAGGAAGACCCGAGGGATACGCACGCTATTCTGGAACTCTAGAGCGCAGATCGGATCAAGTCAGTGTCCCTTCGCACAAAGACACTCACTGACTTGATCCGATCTGCGCTCGTGAGGCTCCGTCCGTATCATTTCTACGATAAGGGGTCGACGGTGCTCGTCAGATAAAGAGTCGATGCGTAAACAAAGCCGACTGCTTGAACTCGCTCGCACTTGCACTGATTTAAATACACACACCATTTTCACGACACCAGCAGTCGTCGTCGGCACTTACGGCACCAGTAGTTCACGACGGTGCAAATTGATCTTGTACTCCCACGACTGCTGCTGCGCGGAACTCGACACGTACAGCACGTACATTGTGCCCCCGGCGTAGAGCTTCAACGGAAACAATGGACTCGGGTCGCTCTTGTGCTGCGCACTCGACTTGATGACCTGCAGCTTTGCCAGGTCCAGACTAACAATCAGCTTGGCGGTCGTGTTGTCAAAGAGGTGAAACGTCGTGTCCGTGAGGACGCCCCAGCGTGCCACAACGACCTTGCGCGACGGCGAAGCGCTTGTTGGCGTCCTCCTGGACGTCAGTAGCGCCGGCGACGCCAATAAGCCATTGCTCGACACTTGCTTCGACCAGAACGAGACCAGCCGCTTGGCTCTGGACGTGAGGGGCGGTCCCTGCAGGAACTGACCGGATTTGCACGGCCGCCGCGACGACACGGGCTTGATCGTGAGCTCCACGGTGCCCTTTACAAAGCGGTGGAGCCCCACGATCGACTCGTCGACGGGGAACTTCCACTTGGCCAGCGGCGCGCTCGCTTTCGTCTTGTGCTCCCACCCCGTCTCGAGTGGGACAATCGCTTGGCCCAGGAACCGCAACTTGCCGGCGTTGCTCACGCCAATGACCGTCGTGACAATGTCGCACTTGCTCGACAACATGGGCACAAAGAGCGCGTCGCGCCACGTGGGCACGTCGACGTGCGCGCAGCGCGACGTGGAAAAGTGAAACATGAACGGTCCAAAGGGTTTCTTGAGCACGCGGACGTTGCAAAAGACCGACACGACGTTGCGAAAGTCGCACAGCAGCTCGAGGCCCGTGACGGCCGTGACTTGGAGCTCGGCGGGGCGGCCCACGGCACTGAGGCGCGTCGCGAGCCGCTGCCGCGACAAAAAACAGCGCACGAGGCGCTGCACGACGCGCGCCGCTGCGTGGCGCTCAGCACGGCGCGCACGCGGCAGCTGCGCCTCGTGCTGGACGAGGCGACGCGCTTCGGTCCGGCGGTGCACCACTTGGCCCCAGGCGCGACGACTGCGCGCGTCAATAGGCGGCGTGCCGGGCATCTCGGGGCACTTGCGGCGCTCTTGTTGCGCCGGTGTCGCTACGAGCGCGAGCGGGGGGTCGGCCGCTTTGTCGTCGGCGTCGCTCGGACGGCAGGCGGGACGCAGCTGACTCGACGACATGCGGCGACGGTGGGCGTACGCGGGTCGAGGGAGAGGCGGACGCGACGATCAGTACGGCTGCTGTTGCTGCTGCTGCAATTGGTGCGGTGGGGCGCGGCCGTCGTCTCGGGCAAATTGACTTGTGGGGCGACGATGGCGTGGGGTGGACGGTGAACGCGGACATGTTGGTTTCAGTATGCAGGTGGCTCGGAACCGTACGGATGCGGGGGCGCGTGGGAAGAGGCGACAGACGCAGACAGAATGTTAGATAGTGGCTGTTGTAGGCAGATGCAAATGAGCCCAACGTTTTGGGTCTCGTTTTTCGAGCGGTTTAAACCGCCTCATGTGCGCGTTGCGACGCGAGCGCTTGGAAGGCTGTTGGACTTTGTGGACCCTGTGGGATAAACGTCAGTGGCCATTCACGCGCGCGGGCGCTGCTAACTTGGAGCGACTACTGCAGAGACGAGACGCAGAAGGCACCGACGTTGTGCACGTGCGCGCGACGGCGACATTTGGACAAGGAGAGTGTCGATTGCTTAGACCGGCGCGAGATCGAGTAACGGCAGCACATGCAGTGTCGAGGGCTCTGTGTGCATGTCGACTGCACTGGACCCATTCAAAAAGTGCGTCCACAAGAGCACACCTGGTCATGGCTGGTGTACGAGCAAGTCCCTTTCCTGCCACACACACACACCCACACACACACAAAAGGTCACTTTGTATCCCAACGCCGACTTGAAGTGCACGACGCCCGCGTGTCTGGCCGGGCACCTGATTCTGGTTTCCAGCTGCTGAACAGGAGCGGAAAGAGGCGGGACCGATAGGGCGACGTGAGGCTAGAAAAGCACTCTATTTATAGAACGCTCTAACGCGCCCGATTCGCGTCGACGTGACGCCGAGAAACGAAAACGTGGAGTTGTGATCTAAACGGACGGTTTCGAGACTAAATATGGCCCGACGTGTCGTGTGCAAACCCACAGCGACGACAGAACAACTTACAGCCGTCGAAGAGCTACGGCCATTGTCACAAGGTTCGTTGATCACCTTGTGTGTCATCGTCCCCTTTCTCCAGCGAGCAAACAGTGGATGCTTCGAGCGATGAACCGTTGCGTGCCACCTCCTTTCTGAGTGTTTGTCACGACCACGACGCATTCACTGTTCGCTACGCTGGTCGCTAGTCGCTGTTCTGCAACAAAAGAGGTGTTCAGTCGCGACGTTCGACGACAGGATGCGACCGCCAAATGGAAGTGTCGTGTGCGGTAGCTCGAGGAACAATAGTGTGCATCGAGATTTCCAAACAGATGATGAAGACGAGGCGGCAGGGTAACGGAGCATAGCGGGAGGCGGATTTGCAGCGTGGAAGATCCTGGCGTAAACATGCTGCAAAGTCGTACTGAGCGTCGATCAAGTTGTTTGTTATATGATGTTGAGATGGAAAGCAATAACGACACACTGATTGGAAGTAAAAGGAGCAGTTAACGTAGGTCATCGATTACATCGCTGCTCCTGATGTGAATGGACGATGAAGAGTGTAAAGGACAATGACACGACAAACATCCGACGGTCTCGTACAAGTAACCCTTGTTTTCATACTCCGCCACGAAAGGTGCAATCCATTACAAGCTTGTCCGTCTCAATGGCAGTAGCGCCATTTGGCGACACCGTTTTCATTTTTTCTGTCGAAGCCGTGTCCTCCTCATTCAACTCACGTCAGCAGCAGCTAGATCCCGCTGAGTCGGGTCGAGTCTTTTGCTTAGCATGGGTCGCCGAAGAAACTGGGCTAAGATATTGTGTAGAAGATCGTTAGCCCAGCGCATATCACACACGTATGCCAATAGTCACACATCAAATGTCGGCTGGCCGAAACGTCAGCGTTGATAACGTGGAGTCCGCATCACAGATTGGAAAAACGAGTAACAATTCCACAAATCGAATATGTGTCAACGGTAAGCAGCTCCGTCCAACTCAAGACACCGATGCGAAAAGGAAGCAATGTCGGTTCATCTTCGATACAAACATGAGTTGTGCATCTGATAGGCATGCGGTATATAAAACACACGTTCACTGACTTTCGAGACACGTGCGATCAAACATTGCAGTCGAACGCCACCACGTTGGTGACAAATCTAAAGGCAATGCGACAACTACTGTACAGTCGCGAACCAGAAGGATGGCGTCACTCTATGTGCAAGACCAAGCATCCAGCATCAACATTCCCGCTGGTAGAACGAGTATCTGCAAATACTTTTTACCGCGCTGGGTATACCATTGCATGTCGAATGGCAAACGTCACAGACTTCTACGTTGATGATATTATTAATGGCGGCGATAGAGAACGGTCGTCGCATTGATAGCACAGCAATTCCTATCGTGATGGACTTGTTCTTGCTACTCATAGATCACTCAGGACACACACTCGTGCATTCACAATCGTCTGGTGTACACAGCCTCACAACTGCGACAATCATCCGGGTCACCTGCAATGAGTGACATGGACGATATAGCATTGCACCACGAACAGGGTATAAGGCACAGTATATTCGTTACCGCGGGTTGATCTCCGACATTGTGGCCGTAAAGTTACATCACAACAAAAAGCCAAGCGACAGAACATTCGACATCGAGAAGAATGGAATGGTAGAGATGTGTGAAGTGAGTCCGCGCTTGATCCCAATTTTTTTTAGCAGTTCACAATTCACTCTTACCGCGAAAAAAAAACAGCATCATAATTGAAACTTGTGCGGATTGTCATGGAACCGTCCAACTCGCGATTGCTGGACTCTGTCGTATATGGGAAGCTTGTGACGATCTACGTTGATTCCTCCTGTCCTCGAGCTGCACGGAAAGGGAGCATGAGTTGTTGTAGCAATACGTGTCCTCTCGTCCGCGATAGATGAGCCATTAACTCCAAGCGAAAGTGAGTGTTCGGGTGGCTATGTACGACTCAGTAGACTGCCCTGCGCACAAGAAATGCTGGTGATAGAGCTCATCCAGCTCCGACTGGCTGCGAATCGGTAAATCTCTTTCGAGCCCAATCGTGGCCCATAATCAGCGGTAGCAGGAATGATTCTTGTACCCACGCGTTTGTCGGGTATTCTCGGCACAGAGTCTGGTCACACCACGTGTTTCGACATGTCTTTACCGCTTCGGTATGGCAAATTACAGACGGGACGTGAATGCAGGCAAAGCGGCAAGGTGATGTGGACGCAATATATCTGTCTATGGGAAGCTTTGGTCATCGTCATGTAAGAAAGCTGGTACAATCGTTGTTGCTGCTTATATCGCTACGCTCACTGGAACTGCGTGCTTGTTCGTGATACTGCAAGTGAAGGGAGCGTCATTTCAAGTAACAACGCACTTGCGCTTCGACTTCGATCACGTTCGATAAACTTGCTTCACTTCTATCGAAGTCGCGCCGATAGTCATGCAGAAGGTTTACTCATTTGTGATGGACACGACAGCGCGACGGAGGCTGAAAAATACGTGCGGTAGGAAAACGCGCACGATGGGATACGTACAGAAGAAATGCTCGCAAACGGTGCTTTGCAGCCCATTTGAGCTACATGTGCTGGTTGGATGACTGAAAAGCAACGCGGGTGATTTCTCGTTATCCATGTCGCTTGGTGTATCGAAATGTGTTGTCAAATACGCTCTCCAAAGTGAGCTAGACCGTTAAGAAGTGCCAAATGTAAAGTTCCACTTCCACGCGATCGCCTTTGTGTCGAAAGCTTCTACAGCACTGCCTCCAGCTTATGGTATCAGCTTCAGGCAAATGAAGGACTGGAGTCTTTGCGAAACATACAAATCCGCTTTTTTGTACGTCGCAGGCCGGCGCGCACAAGCGAGTTCCTCGCATACCGAACAGTACCGTATCGAAGTATTGCCTGGTACCTCTGTGGCGCTCGTCGTGCCGCATACCACCGTCTGGAATGGACGAATGACAGACCAGTCGCACAAAATCGTAAACGACAGACTAAATAAAACTGAAATTGGCAATCATGGTGTACGTTTTTATTCATGCAACTTGCGATGTTGCGAGCGACTGTGTGGTCTAGATCCAGCAATGCGTCAGTATATGTCAAATGCAACTGCAGCAAACAGCGTGGCACGATCCAAATCGTCCGGCATGTGTGGGCATTCCCGAATGAGCAACCTTTGAGTAGTTAACGTCTATAGTCCTTTTAAATGTAGGATATGTCTGAATCGTACTAAACTATTACTATATGAATTTATAGAAAGTCTTTGTAGGTTTTGAGCCCATCCAAGCGAATGACTTCTTATATTATCAACGTCTATTGCGTTCGTTAGCAATATCGACGCTTTAGCATGATTTAACACCTTCGCATCCAGGCAGATTTCTTGTCTGACGTTTGTCGAGCGAATTAATGCTAATAATGTCAGTCCTCCTAGTGGTCCTTTAAAACCAAGGACGAAGTCGTGTCGCATACACGTTCACTTGCAGTGTATCAGCGCCATTTTACAATGGATGCGCTTTTGTCCGATAACACAAAAGTGGAAACAGACAATGTGACGGGGTTACACAACGGGTGTGTGTAACAGGTTACATAACATGTGTGGTACACAAAGGACGGAGTCCCATTAAAAATGGTATTCGAACACCATATCAATTGTCGGGGGACGACGTGTGTCAGCCACCGAATTCAGAGATCTTTTAGGAGGTATTAATTAGAACAGTAGTGACTGGGTTGAGTACGTTGTTCTGAGGTGTTCTTTTCGATAAACATAAATAAGGATCAGTCCCCATTTGATCATTTAAGACACGTGCCTTACGAGGCGTCTTTGATCGGTAAGAGCTAGCAACGCCTGTGCAGGTAACTACTCTTGAGCACTATGTGCTGTGATTCTCTTGAATCGTTTGGTCCCCTGGAACAGGGACCGCA